GAGAGCTGTAATCCTCAATAGTTTAGTGAGGTTTGAGTACCTGTAGATGAGCTCCCATTGATATTCAGCCCTTGGCGTAACCGTCAATAGCGAAACGCCTGGGCGAGCTTCTGTTGCACTCATCTCGTCAGAGAGTGCTGGTTGCGACGGCCATGAGTCTGGTTTGAGTATCCATGGTGGTCCCGTCCACCAAAGTGATTGACCTTGAAGTTGAGCAGTCGTGAGGCCTCGTGATGCGCAATCAGCCGGATTGGAAGTTCCAGGTATGTATCTCCAGTGAGCAGCTGGAGTGAGTTCTTGAATTTGAGCCACCCTGTTCCTGACAAAATCCTTCCAGCGTGATGCATGAGATCTGATCCACGAGAGTGTCACTAGAGAGTCCGTCCACAGTGAGTTGCCGTTACGTCCATGTTCAAAGTGGCTGTGACGTATTGCATGAGCCGAGAGAGCAGAAGAGCAGCCGTGAGTTCAAGTCGCGGGATTGAGAGCCGCTTGAGAGGTGCTACCTTAGTCTTGGAGCACACAAGTGAGAACGTGGCGCCGTTTGAGTCGTGAACGGAGATGTATATGACTGCAGCCATTGCCAATTGAGAAGCATCAGAGAATCCATGAAGTTCCACTTGCGAGTCGCTCCATGTGTTGAGCCACCGAGGTATTGAGAGCCTGGCCAGGCTTGTGAGTTCTTCTCTGATGATGAGCCACCGGGCTGAGAGCTGGGATGGCAGTGGATCATCCCATTGGAGCTTGTGCAGCCACAGCTCCTGCAAGAGAATTTTGGCCTTGATCACGACAGGTGATGCAAAACCAAGTGGATCGAGCATCTGAGCCACTTCAGATGAAACGAGGCGTTTTGTGGGTCTGCCTTCCGAGCGTGAGCTTCGGGTTGAGAATGCAAAGGTATCTTCTTGAGGGAGCCATTTGAGTCCGAGTATCTTGGTTGCACAATCGTCGAAGGTGATTTGTGAGCCTTGGTCTTCGCTGTCGGTGACAGTCTTGAGTATGTCGAGATGAGTTGCATGCCATTTTGCTAGTGGGAAGCCGCCCGCCATGCAGAGGCCCCTTAGTTGATGTGCGACCTCCTGCCGTGAGTGATAGCTGGCACAGCCAGTGGGAAACTATGTCCTTCGTCTTTTGTTAATTGTAACAAGGTCCGTACGGCTGAGAATGGTGCGACCTTCGTCCCGTAAGTGCCCGTTGTTGAATGATATGGCACCTCATTGAGCTGATTGTCCATCCAGAGTATCCGCTGTAACTCCCAGTCATCCTTGTGAATCTGAATCGGTCTGTCGATTTTGGTGATGTCCGTAGCGAAAATGTGACGATGTCTACGTATCCTAGGTAGAACATCTGAGATGTTCAGATGTAGCTTTGCTCCAGTGTACATGAGGTAGTTGACCGAGTAGCCTGATGTGGATGCGCTAGAGCCATTGAAAACCACCCGCAGTTTCGTTGTAATACTGGCCGGCTTGAGAACACCGTGATGTGTCAGGTGAAAATGTGAGCGATGACTGGAGATGAATGATGCCTTCGTAATGTGGTTGAGTGTCTCGTAATCAATCATGAATTGTTGATAGAGACGTTGATAATTC